AGTTTTTCTTAGGTCTTCCTTACTGTCCAGCTTCCTTACTGTCCATGTGCATATGAAGCTATTGAAAATACTGTGGCTTAGGTCAGGTGCAGCTTAGTCTTTAAAGTGACATCTTTGCTCTTTAACATTTTTAAGAAGTCTTATGCAGCCTATTTCCCTAGTCCAGTACTCGTGGTTTGATCTTCTGACCAATTGGTGACTGAGAAACTCTTAAAGGAAGGTATTTCTCTTGCATCGGGGCCAGTCTCATTGTGAATTCTCCCAGTTAAGTACTTGTGGACTAGGAATTGAAAAAGGGCTTCCAACCTGTGCTCACTGCTCACTGCCAGGGCTTTGTGAGAGTCATGGATCTGAGGTGTGCTTTTGTCCTATGGAGGGCAAAGATGTGGAAGAATCATATGATTCCTTCCTGATGCCAGGAACACAAAGAGTAAAGGTGCTATCTCTGTCCCCCAGAAACTGATGATCGTCAGTATAAGGGAATACATGGTAAGTCCAGGGGGTTTTCTAGGAAGATCTAAGAAAAAAGACCTCAGTGCCAACTGGGCTGGTCCAGGAAAACTCCCCAGTAGTTGGGCACACAGTGAGGACAGGATCATAGAGATGATGAACAGAGACCATCCACAAGTCCTGGCTAGGGTGGTGGTTCTAAGTCACAGATTCAGAGAGGAGAGCTTTCCCTGAGGTGGGAAGCTTCCTGGTCCACAGTGATTTCTCCCATCCTCTGCTCTACCCTATTCCTGGCACTTACTTTGTATCCATAATGGATCAGGAATGGTGGCATCACCTGGGAGGTGTCGGGGGTGTGGATAGCACTGGATGACATTGTCAGAGTGGGTTACCAAAATGACTGTCCATGAAATTTGTGTGCAGTGTTTCAGCAGAAATTCATTATTTTTTAAAATAAATATATCTCTGTAGTTACTTATAATAACAGAAATTTTTTTTTTGTAAACTTAGCTGTTCAAATAATTTATTTTAGAAAGATCAGCACAAAGTTACTCTCTATGAGGTAGATGTTAAAGATGTCCCAAGTGTCCAACCTTTTCAAACTGCTGTACCACTCCATTATCTCTAACATCAACTCCTCCTCTTCTCCTCAGTGGTCTCCTGCCTGTCTTAGGGTTCTGTAAAGTCTGTGAAGTCTTAGGTTGCTGTAAAGTCTCTCAGAACTCATCCAAGTAAATGGCTCACATGGTTGTGAAGGCTGACAAGTCCCAGATCCATGAATCAGACATCACTCTGAAGAATTCTCCTCATTCATGTGGTTGCAGGGGCTGGCAAACTCCAGATCAGCAGGTCAAATGACAGGTTACTGGCTTAGTAGGCTGCAAAAGTTGGTGAATGAGGTCAGGGTTTAGGCTGGCTCAAGTCCCAAGAACTCAGGTCCCAGGAATCAGAGGTCATATGACAAAGCAGATGCAGCATCCAAAGCAAGAAGAGAGAACTTTGCCAGAGTGTTCATATATATAGGATGCAGACCATACCCTCAAAGAAACTAAGGGTGGTGACCTGAGTCACACTCTCTAGTAAGGTGATGACTCAAGATACATCCCACTCTAATTCTTTAACATCACTCCAAAGTGGAACCATTACCACAGGCATAGAGGCTAGATTTATAATGCTTTACAAAACAGAGGACTGTGAGCTGTATTTAGTAATTTACTGTACCACCCTAGCTTACATGTATCAGTATATGGACAGGGCTAAAACTCTGTGCTAATTTACTTGTTGAACCTTCTAATGCCCTCCAGTCAGAGCTGTCATTATTACCCAATTAGAATAAAGCTTCAAATCACATGTTTTTGTCTGCACATACTGCAAATATACACTGCTGTTTTCGTTGCCAGTGTTTTTATAGTTGTTGATTTTGTCAAATTTCTGGTGCTTTAGCTACAGTATTGTGATAATTGTGAACCTATATCAATAAACTTTTTGAGAATGAGGTAGATATTAAAGGAAAAAAAGTAATGATATGCAGGAATTATGATTTACAAGTAACAGTACAAAAAACATTATTAAGGATTCTGTATGATATGGTACAGGAGGAGGTCTATGGGGGGTGGGGGGTAACACCATGAATTACCACACTGGGAGACACCAACCCTAGTGATGCCACTGATTGGGGAATCTCTCTGGCATTGTGATCTCCTTTCTGGGTATATGAGGATGGATCCCTGAGAGGTACAAACAGTTTACTTTCAACTACTAACTGAAAGGTTGGTGGTTTGAACCCACCCAGCAGTGCCACAGAAGGGAGGCCTGCTGATTTGCTTCCATAAAGATTAAAACCCACTGCCATTGATTCGATTCCGACTCATAGTGACTCCTCTTTGGGTTTCCGAAATAGTATCTCTACACAGGTAGATTGCCCAGTCTTCCTTCCAAGGAGTGACTGGTGGGTTTGAGCTGCCAGCCTTCTGGTTAGCAGTCAGATAGATGCCTTAGGCACTACACCATCAGAGCTCCCACTCCATAAAGATTGTAGCCAAGAAAGCCTGTAGAGCAGTTCTACTCTGTAACACGGGGCTGATGTGAATCAGAATTGACTCAACAATAGTGGGTTGGGTTTGGTTTTAACCTTGAGGCTGTAGTGGTTCAGTTGTAGAATTCTTGCCTTGTGTGTCAGAGACCTGAAGTCAGTCTTTGACCAGTGTACCTCTTGTGCAGGCACCACCTGTCACTGGAGTTTTGCTTGTTGCTATGAGGCTGAACAGGTTTCAGTGGAGTTTCTAGACTAAGATGGATGAGGATGAAAGGCCTAGGAATCTACTTCTGAAAACCAACCTTTGAAAACCCAATAGATCACAACAGTCCAATCTGCAACTGATCATGAGGACAGCACAGGACCAGGCAGCATTTTCTTCCATTGTGCATGAAGTCACCGTGAGTCGGGACCAACTCGAGGTCGTCTAACAACCTTGGGGATGGTAAAGACCAAGTGAGCTCTGAACTAACAGTCATACCTTTACAAATGTATCCTAAGGAAATAAACTTTGCCTGTTTGTCTGCTGCTGTACATGGACATCAGGCCAGCGTTTTCAGAGTAGTGATAAAGTTGAAATAATGGAAAAGTTCACTAGTAGAAGAGCAATTAAATAAACTGGTTCATCCACACAGTAAAATACTTGGCAGCAATTGAAAAGTGTTGAGTGAGACACAGTGTTCTGTATCATTATTTGTTGAAGTGTAGACTTAATATTTGTGTATGACAGGTCTGAAAAGACATCATAACAATAAGTTAGCAGAATTAGTTTCTGGTGGTAGAAATTAGATTGACATTTCTTTTTCTTTTGCCTGCTATTTTGTTGTTGTTGTTACTTTTAACACGATGATCCTTAATAAGAAAGGAAAGGGGTCGCTAGTTTAAAAGAATTGTCTTTTGAAGGAGAAGAAAAGTAAAACAGTCTTCCTGGAGAGAGGGAGAATCGTGATCACCACCTTCTCAGCTGGCTCTTGTTGAGAAGGTATACAGCCTACCACCCTCTACCGTCTCCTGGCAAAGCCATGTCTACGGCATTCTCAACTATGATGTCAGTGACTTCTCCCCCAAAACATAGAGATGGCCCAAGGTGATGACAGGACTGGCCTGTCTTCCTCCCAGACAAGCCAATGCTTTCCCACCTCCTCCTCCATGAGTAAATGTGCTGGAGCCTTCTTCTGAACACCCGATTCTCATAGTCTCATCTATAAAATGAGTTTGGTCTGCATTGATATACGGGTGGATAGATGGGTGGACAGGCTGAACTATTAGGTTTGTCTATGCAAGGAGGAATGTGCCCAAGACCATGCATAGTGTTGATAGACAATGTTTCTACAAGTGTATTGCTACGTTCTTTAAGAATTCCCAGGTATATAGTAGAGCTGACAAGGGTCAAGGTTGTAGTCACTTCTGGGGCACAGCCAGCTACCCAGAGGGAGTGAGTAGTTGGACCTGTGGGTTTGGGACCATAGTCACAGGGGGCATCAAGCTCAATTGGCATAACATACTACACAACACATTGTTCTATTTCCTAGTTTGGTGAGTAGTGACCAGGATCTTAAAAGTTTGCAAGCAGCCATCTAGATGTAACGATGGGTCTCTCTCATCCAGAGCAAAGAAAAATGAAGAAAACCAAAGATTCATGGAAACAATTAGTCCAAGGGACTGGTACACCATCCGATCTGCAGCCTGTGTGACTATGAGACCAGAAGAACTAGCTGGTGCCTGGCTACCACTGTCAACCACCTGGAGGGAGAGCTATGTGTGAAATCCTGGATAGAGCAGGAGAACAGTGTAGAACAAAACTCAAAATCATTTGGAAAAAAAAGGGACCAGGTTTGCTGGTCTGATGAGTCTGGTGGAACCACTGAGACTATGGCCCCTAGCTGCCCTTTAGGTCTGGAATTGAACCCACACCTGTGGCTTCCAGCCAAATGAAAGACAGGCATATGAGGTGAACATTTACACTAGATAATACACTCCTTGGAGAGAACAATCATGGGAGAATAGAAGGGCTGTGTATACACAGGGACATAGCTCAGGGGGCAGGAGTGCATGGATGGAAAGACACAGGTAAGAGGTAACTGTGGGGAGGAAGTGGGAGGGGAACTGTTGCATTGTGGTAAATTGTAGTCAGTGTCATGAGACAAAGTGTATGCAAACTGCTGTATGGAACATGAACTTGCTCTGTAATCTTTCACCCAAATCATAATGAAAAAAAATAAAAAAGAGTTTGGTCTAGGTGATTGCACACTCCCAAGTCTAAAGTTCTGTGTTTCTCTCTTTCTGATTTTATTTAATAGTTTCGGGTGCTTACCTTGTCTGGGTTTAAACTTAACTGTTGGCACAGTGTTTCATTCACAGTACGTATGAGATAAATATGGGCCCAATTACAGAGAGATTGTCTGGAAGTACTTGACTTGAAATGCTCAGAACCCTGAGCTATGACAGGGTTGCATTTCATTGTGGGGATTGCCTTGGGTGAACAGGAGTGGGTTTATCATTACAGAAGTTTGTGATGTTCAGGGATGTGGCCGTGTTCTTCAGCCAAGAGGAGTGGGGACACTTGGATGCTGCTCAGAGGGCCTTATACCGGGAAGTGATGTTGGAGAACTACAGCAACCTGGTGTCACTGGGTAAGGAGCTTTCCTTTTAATACAGAAGCTGCTGTGGGAACACCCTAGCAGTACCCTCTCCAAGGAGGACATTGAAGAGCTTGGCTAGGCTTAGCTGCAGGTGGGCTCAGAGAGTGGTGGTTGCTGTTTCCCTCAGCTGCTAGGGAAAGTCTTAGCTTGGTAGAGTTGATGGTGGGCATCTTTGCTGTGCTTTTTTTTTTTTCTCCTACTCCCCTAGACCTGTCTTCCAGATCTCTTGGGGCTCCATCTTAGAGAAGTGCATAGACACAGCCACTAACTTTCTTTCCAGGACCACCTCCCAACCATCTTTTCGGTGCCCAGTTTTAAGCCCCTCTCAGAACACACCTCTCTGCCTCCTTGGACTATTCCTCTGCACTAGCGTCTCTGGGACTGGATCTGTGGCAGGATAGCCACTCAGGTCTGTTACCCATATTCAGTTTCTTTTTCTTATTCATGAACAGGGATTCTGTTTTCTAAACCAAAGGTCATCTCCCAGTTACAGCAAGGGGAAGACCCCTGGATGGTAGAAAAAAGAGTTCTTCCAGGTGCCTGTCAAGGTGAGTGACAGAGCAGTGGGAAGTGGGCATAGTGTGTTTTGATGGCCTAGGTGCTGATCAGTGAGGAGGTTGCACTCAGGAGACACTGGCCAGGAGTCTCCTTGATATGCCTGCCACATGGGAAATGCTGGGAAGGGCATGGCTCTACTTTTTTGAATATGTGGTCTATCAGATTCAGAGGGAGAGTTGATTTCTTCTAACATGGGTACATTTTTGTAACTTTCCCTTGTAATCTGTAATATACAATACAATGTATAATGGGTAAAGGTTTGTGATTCTTTTATCTTCTATTGTTTTCTTGCTTCAACTGGATTGATTGTTTTCTTAAATTATGTTCCTTTAGTAATGTGGACTACTTTTTATTACTACAAAACATCCCTCATTGTTCCAATTTGGGCTTTGACTTTGACTTTTTTGTCTGCTGTTCATACTGCCTTCCTGCATTTTTTCTTTCATCTTCTTTTATTATTATTATTTACCTCTCTCGTCTTTATCCATTTCTGAATTTTCAGATTTTTCTGACAATGTGTTTTAGAGTTGTCTAGACAGCATAGAACAAGATATTTAATTTTAAAGTGTAATTTGAAGCATTTTAATAGAGAAATTGAAGAATTCATTGTGATCATTCATGTATTTGTTCTTGTCCCTGTTTTTTAATTTTCTATTTATTGTGGTTGAATCTTATCTTCTATACTCTCTACTTTTTCAAATCTGTGGTTAAGGAATTCTGGTGTTCCTTTTCTAATTCTTCTCCACTGTATACCCTAAAATGTTTGGCAAACATTTAATCTGTTTCTTTATGGCAAAGCCAAGAATTAAGCAGTAACAGTAACCCTTCTCCTCTCTCACCAAAGACAAGCCTTTTCTCACATACTATATATACCTACACTGCTTCCACTGTCTCTGTATGTTCTCCCCCTACATCATCACTCCCCCCAAGTTCCATTTTAGTTCTGGATGATACATTATTGCATTTTAATTCTTTAGTTTGAAGTTTAAAATCCCTTGTTTGTTTTTTCCCCTGAGCTGAAATACTTTAACTCTACAACCAGTAATAATCGAGATTTAATCTTAGGCTTTACTGTTTAATGTCTCACCAGATTTTTTTAATGTATTACATTTTCCTCTAGTAGAGTTATGCAGTTTATTTTTGCATATTGACTTTGTATCCTGTGACTATGTTCAAGTCACTTATTGCTAGAGCTATTTTAGAATTTTCTATATTCAAAATCATGACATATGGGAATAAAGATAATTGTTCTTTTAAAAGAAAATTCTTATCTATCTCTCTTTAGCTCTTTTAAAGTCAGATGTGTTAAGATTTTTTTTTGAAAGTTTTTTAAAAATCAGGAAAGTATCAACAAAAATCAGTATCAATCTACCCAGCACTCAAAATTTTAAAAACTATCAAATCTGAAGCAAAAATTCTTTTTGAATAAAATAAAAAGACAGATAAAATTAAAGTTCCCTGTTTCTGCCCTTCTTGGTTCCATTTTCTCCTTTCCAGAGTTATTTAGTGAGGACTTGGGTGTGTATCCACTACATATTTTTCTGAAAATAAGTAAATATACACAAATACATGTTCTTAAGTGCCATAAAGTCAGTTCTGCGACCCCACATACAACAGAGCAAAATACTGCCCAGTCCTGTGCCAGCCTCACAATCCTTGCTATACCTGAGCCCATCATTACAGCCACTGTGTCTGGCCATCTCATTGAAAGCCTTCCCCTTTTTCATTGACTCTTCTCTCTACCAAGCATGATATCCTTCTCCAGGGAATGGTCCCTTCTGACAATAGGACCAAAGTAAGTGAAATGAAGTCTGCCCATTCTCACTTCCAAGGATCATTCCAGCTGCACTTCTTCCAGGACAGATTTGTTAGTTCTTCTGGCAGTCCATGGTATCTTTAGTATTCTTTGCCAACACCAGGGCTCAAAAACATCAACTCTTCTTTGGTCTTCCTTATTCATTGTTAAGCTTTCATATGCGTATGAGGAAATTGAAAATACCATGGCTTGGGTTAGGTGCACCTTAATTTTCAAACAGACATCTTTACTTTTCAGCAAATTTCAGCAGATTTGCCCAGTGCAATACATCCTCTGATGTCTTGATTGCTCCTTCCATTGGTGTTGGTTGTGGAACCAAGTAATATGAAATCTTTGACAACTTCAATCTTTTCTCTATTTATTGTGATGCTGCTTATTGATTTAGTTTGTGAGGTTTTTCATTTTCTTTATGTTGAGATATAATCCATACTGCAGCCTGTAGTCTTTAATCTTTATCACTAAGTGCTTCAAGTCACTCTCCCTTTCAGCAAGCAAAGTTGTGTTGTCTTCATATTGCAGGTTGTTAATGAGTCTTCCTCCAAACCTGACACCAAACACTACTTCATATAGTCCAGCTTCTTGGATTATTTGCTCAGCATAAAGATTGAATAGTATGCTGAAAGGATATAACACTGATGCACTCCTTTCCTGATTTTAAACCATGCAGTATCCCCTTGTTTTGTTTGAACGATAGCCTCCTGGTCTCTGTACATGTTCCTCATGAGCATAATTAAATGTTCTGGAATTCCCCTTCTTTTCAATGTTATCCATAACTTGTCATGCTCCACACAATTGAATGCTTTGCACAGTCAATAAAATACAAGTAAACGATGTTCTGGTATTCTTTGCTTTCAGCCAAGATCCATCTGACATCAGCTATGATATCCCTCATTCCACATTCTCTTCTGAATCCAGCTTGCACTTCTGGAAGTTCTCTGTCAATGTATTGCTGCAACCGTTTTTAAATTATCTTCAGCTAGATATTACTTGCGTGTGATATTAATGATATTGTTTGATAATTTCCACATTCTGTGGGATCACCTTTCTTTGGAATGGGTACAAATATGGATCTCTTCCAGTCACTTAGCCAGGTAGCTGTCTTCCAAATTTCTTGGCACAGATGAGTGAGTGCTTCCAGTGCACCATCGGTTTGTTGAAACATCTCAGTGGGTATTCTGTCAATTCCTGAGCTTTGTTCTTTGCGAATTCCTTCAGTGCAGCTTAGATTTCTTTCTTCAATACTGTTGGTTCTTGATTATTTACCACCTCCTGAAATGGATGAACATTGACCAATTCTTTTCAGTACAGTGACTGTGTATTCCTTCCATCTTCTTTTTATGTTTCCTGCATCATTCAATATTTTGCCCATAGAATCTTTCAGTATTGCAACTTGAGGCTTGAATTTTTTCTTCAGTTCTTTCAGCTTGAGAAATGCCAAGTATGTTCTTCCCTTTTGGTTTTCTAACTTCAGATCTTTGCATATTTCATTATAATAATTGACTTTGCCTTCTCAAGCTGGTCTGTGAAATCTGTTCAACTCTTTTATCTTGTCATTTCTTCCATTTGCCTTAGCTGCTCTCCATTCAAGGGTAAGTTTCAGAGTTTCTTCTGACATCCATTTTGGTCTTTTCCTCCTTTCCTATCTTTTTAATGACCTTTCACATTTTTCATGGATGATGCTCTTGATGTCGTCCCACAATTCCTCTGGTTTTCAGTCATGGGTGTTCAATACATCAAATCTATTCTTTAGATAGTCTCTAAATTCAGGAGGGATATAATCAAGATCATATTTTGGCTCTTGTGGACTTGTCTTAATTGTGTTCAGCTTCAACTTGAACATGCGTGTGAGCAGTTGATGGTCTGTTCCACAGTCAGCTCCTGGCCTTGCTTTGGGTGAAGATAGCGAGCTTTTCCATCCCCTCTTTCCACAGATGTAGCCAATCTGATTCATGTGTTCTCCGTCTGGTAAAGTCCACATGTATAGCTGCCATTTATGTTGTTGAAAAAAGGTATTTTCAATGAATAAGTTGTTGGTCTTGCAAAATTCTATCATGATATCTCCAGAATTATTTCTATCACCAAGGCCAAATTTTCCAACTACTGGTGATTCTTCTTTTCCAACTTTTGCATACCAATCACCAGTGATAATCAATACGTCTTGATTGCATGTTCAGTCAATTTCAGACTGCCGAAATTAGTAAAAATCTTCAATTTTCTCGTCTTTGGCTTTGGTGATTGATATGTAAATTTGAATAATAGTAGTATTAACTGTCTTCTTTGTAGGTGTATGGTATCCTATCACTGACAGCATTATACTTTAAGATAGATCTTGAAACGTTTTTGATGATGAATGCCATGCCATTCCTCTTCAATTTGTCATTCCCAGCATAGTAGATCATATGGTTGTCTGATTCAAAATGGCCAAAACCAGTCTGTTTCAGCTCTCTGATCCCTAGAATATCAATCTTTATGGGTTCCATTTCATTTTTGACAATTTCCAATTTTCCTAGATTCATACTTTGTACATTCCATGTTCTAATTTTTAATGGATGTTTGCAGCTGTTTCTTCTCATCTCGAGTCATGCCACATCAGCAAACGGCGGTCCCAAAAGCTTTACTCCATCCACATGTTTAAGGTCGGCTGTACTCTGAGGTGGCAGCTCTTCTCCAGTTGCATTTTGGGTGCCTTCTGACCTGAGAGGATCATCTTCCGGCACTATGTTGGACAGTGTTTTCAGGGCTATTCATAAAGTTTTCCAGTAATATATCAGACAGTGTTTCACTGCTATTCATAAGATTTTCACTGGCCAATCATTTGCAAAGTAGATGGCCCCATCCTTCTTCCAAGTATGTCTTAGTCTGGAAGCTCTGCTGAAACCTGTCCGCAATGAGTGACACAGGTGGTATTTGATATACCGGTGGCATAGCCTCCAGCCTCACAGCAACACGCAAGCCACCACAGTACAACAAACTGATAGATGTGTGGTGGACACAAATACTTATATACATATAAATGCATACACATACACGTTGTTAGCTGCCATCAAGTTGGCCTCTGACTCATGGCAACCCCATGTACAGGAAAGCAAAATGCAAAAACAAAACAAAAAATAATTGATTGCACATTGAAGTCTTGCAATCCATATGGTTTTTGCTGACTCATTTTTGGAAGTA